ATTCAGACCGGACACATCTGAGCTTGACCAGAGATTGAGTTCAAGCACATACACAGAGGTGTGGGTAATGGCATGTGTCAGCATCAACCATGACAGTGGGGAGCAAGAGGTTAAATCATCACGCAAAGGCAGGTGACATCACTGTTCAATGTCCCTGCGTCACGAAATCCTGGGCACCCAGGACAAAGCTGGTGGCAGCAACTGCCTCAAATGAGAGAAACGTCTCAACACCAGCTCCTGCCTCCTATCCCCGCTAGGCTCGAACCTCCCAGAGTCCTCCTGGCCGAAACCCTTCTTTACAGAAGTCTTGGATCACTGTCTCTAACTGAAGGGGTTCTGGGGTGCGGGACTTTCAGTGCCTGAGAAAGTCCTGGGCCAACAAGGGCAAGTTGGTTACTCTGATCTTCATTAGTGGTTCAGCATGGCCTTTCCCACGTATTACTCATAGGGAATCCTTAGGGACTCTTCCCCTCAGAGGCTCTTGGTGAAGATCACAAGCATCCCCTTCACACCAATGATACAGAGCAGCGCTGTCCAACAGAACTTTCTGCTGTGATGGAAGGGTTCAGTATCTGTGCGTGGCTACCATATTGGACAGCACACTTCTAGGAAGTGATTTTTAAGCTTGATGGCCTTGAACTAAAGTCACCTCGGGGGTTTTCAAAAACCTCAAATGCCCAGGCCACACTCCAGATCAATTAAATCAGAGCATCTGGAGAGGGACACAAGCATCCAAAGTGCCGCCAAAAATGAGGACCTTCAGAAGAACCCAGGGTTCTCAAAGCATCCAAATTATGGATGATTGACTTGCATCCAAATCATCAAGAGAGTGTGTTAACAACACACAAAACTGAAACCCCTCCCACTCAAACACATCTTCTAAATCAAAATCCCTGGGGAAGACCCCAGAATAACACTTTTAAAATAAACTTTCCACTTTATTTTAAGATTTTATTTACTTATTTATTTTAGAGAGAGAGCACATGTAAGGGGAGGGGCAGCGGGAGAGGGAGAGAGAGAATCTCAAGCAGACTCCTGGTTGAGTGGGGAGCCCGATGCAGGGCTGGATCTCACGACCACGAGATCACGACCTGAACCGAAACCAAGAGTCAGATGCTTAACTGACTGTGCCACCAGGCACCACCCCTATACACTTTCATTTTAGAATACATTTAGGTTTATGGAAATGTCATGAAGACAGTACAGAGTTCCACATGTCCCACACCCAGTTACCCTATTATTAACCTCTTACATTAGTATGGTACATTGATCACACTCAATGAACCAATAATGATACCTTATTATTAACTAAAGTCAATGCTTTATTCAGATTTCCTTAGCTTTTACCTAAAGTCCCTTTCTGTGCCAGTATCCCATCCAGGACACCACATTACAATTGGTAGTCATGTCTCCTGAGGTTCCTCTTGGCTGTTTCTTAGACTTTCCTTATTTTTAATGACCTTGACAGTTTTGAGTAGTGGTTATGTATTTTGTAAAAAGTCCCTCAGTTGGGAGTTGTCTGATGTTTTTTGCATGGTTAGACTGGGGTTATATATTTTGGGAGGAAGATTCCAGAGGTCAAGTGCCATTCTCATCACTTTGTATTAAGTGTACATGCTATCAAGAGAACTTACCAGTGTTGATGTTGGTCTTAATCACCCGGCTGAGGTTTGTCAGGTTTCTCTCCTGTAGTTACTCTCCTCCCAGCCCCTTCAATACAAAACCTTTCAGAAGGAAGTCACCAAACACAGCCCACACTTGAAGAATGGGGAGTCACACTCCTCCTCCTTAAGAGCTGAGCATCTACACGAATCATCTAGAATGGAATCTACTTCTGATAGGATCCTCAATGATTCGTATCCATACTGAAATTTGGGAATTGCTGGGCTGAAGGGGCATAATCACGTGATGTCCTGGGGTTCCTTCCAACTTGGTAACTCTCTGATTCTCTGAGTGTGGATGACATGGTGAATGGGTGGATTTGCTGGACTCCAGTGGAGACTGATATTCACTTATTTAGTCTAGAAACCAAGTCATGGATCCTCTAGACACAAAACAGTGAATAAATATAGAATTGTTGATATTACCACCATGGAGTGTTTTGGAATTGGAACCCGGCATGTTGGAGGAGAAAAAAAGCCACACCATGGAGGTGTGTGTGTATATATATATATATACACAGTGCTTTGGGCCAGAGTCGGACACTGTTGTGGACCCAGCTAAGGAACAGAAAGTGTTCGCCCACTGGAGAAAGGGAGCTATGGAGGAGCAAAGGACCCTGGGATATAGGAGGCCATGTGAGGAGGGTCACGAGGCACAGGAGCGGTCTGGGGGCACTTCAGAGCTACTCTAGCATGAAGAACAGCAGTAAAAAGATTTATTAAGCTATTAGTATGCAGCAGGCATCAATTGGACTAATAACATACCCATTCTTTAAATTACAAAGCAGAAGCTGGGTTTCCATAACTTACCCAAGGTCACACCATTACTGAGGGATGGGTGTAGGATTCAAACTCAGGTCTGCATGACCTGAGACCTGAGGTGAAAACAAAGGATGAGGCCAGCTGCATTCTTAGAGGAACAGGATATTCCCATAGACATGTGGAGAAGGTAGGGCACCTACCGCAGGAGAGAAGTAGCCATGTTCCCCCTCAGGAAGTTGGAAGAAGGAAGTAGCCTTATTCACGTCACTGACTTCAGAGAAACAGCATAGGAAAGGCAGGCCGAAGGTGGAACCATCAGCCAGCGTGTGGACACATGAACTGTTGACAGACTTTGTGGCATAAAATGTAATTTTGAAACTCATTTGTCACTAATGGAAGCCATGGACTAGTCACAGAGCAGTCTCACCAAGAGGGAAGCATTCAGTTATTGCTGTTTATAAGTCACAGAAAGTTTCGGTAAACTGGATCCTTGTTTGGCTTTAGCAAAGCTAAGCTTAGAGACTAGCCCTATCGCTTTCTCAAGTCATGGATCCCTGAAGTGTTCCTTTTATTTTATTTTATTTTAATTTAATTTTTGAAGTGTTCTATTTTAATAGTCAAGGAAATGACCAGTGGTGGGTGGAAGGGTTGGGAGAGGCCCAGAAGCCTGGCCACACAGAGGAGTGGCTCTGAGCAACAGAAGACATAGTGGGAGTCAGGACCTCGGGGAAACTGAGGGCAGCCCAGATGATGCACTATGAAGGGGGACTGTTGGCATCTTCGTGTTCCTCGTGAAAGTAGAACCTTCTAAAATTAATAATCCATTGAAATACTGTCAGGTGGGGTACCAGGGAGCACTGGGGCTGTGATTGAGTGGTATGATCATGTGTTCCTCAGTTTACCAACTGAAGGCCCACAGAAAGCATTCATCTAATGTGAATTAGTTACCTGCATTGAAAAACAAGGGAATTACACATGAAACTTGCAATTTCAGCCTTCTCTGAAAAAGTGGAAAATCTAGCAACTCTGAACTAGTGTATCAGCAAGGCATAGAAGCTGAGAGGTAGCTGACCCCTTTACAGGCTTCCTGTTCATCAGAAGCATCAATCACTTGGCCATTTTCAGTTATTTTTGCCGCTAAAGGCATTTGAGTTTGCAAAACTTGCCCTGGATTTTGAGACACAGATAGATGACTGGCACCAGGCAGAAATGTCATGTATAGGTTATGCAAGTAGAAAGGTCCATCAATGCAGCAGTGCTAACCCCGCTGATTATATTTTCTGGAGCACCATCAGCAAACCCTAGTCTCCAGGCTTTTGTGATTTTCACCCAATGGTAACGCCTGGTACTTCCTCGCTGAGATGTAGGAAACACTGTTTGAAGGTAAAGACAGAGGGAAGATTGCATAGAATGTCAGGACCAGAAGAACACAGGTGAAATCGCTCAAACTTTCACTTTAGAAACAGGTTATTGAGATGCAGAGACGCACCCACTACAGCTCAGATCTGGACCTGTGAACCACACCAACAGCCCGTTCTTCTGGGTCACCATGGTGTTGGCACATCTCTGTCCTTGGAGGGTGGATTGACTTTTGTCTGCAGCCAAGTGTCATTCTCCTTGAAGGCTGGCAGAGAAGGTGAGGGGGCAAGCTTGGGTATTACCACTTGAAGCAACACCGAGGTGGGTTCTGGAGTAATCAGACCAATTTCCTTGCGTGGCTGGTAAAGCTGCAGGCAGAATATGCAATATTCATGGAGCTATGCATCCTTTCAGGTTTGCTTAAAGGTCTCTTTTCTACACGTTCATTCCTCATTTCCATGCTATAGGCTCTAATCACCTTCCAGCTAGACTAAGACTCCTGCTCTGCCACCTCATTTCTGATTTCTGTTTTCCCTAAGAGGCCCTATCTCAGTCTAGACTCTGCGCCCAGGTATTTTGCACACCTTATCTGCATATTATACCAACTGGCCCCTTTCCCTCCGTGTAGTCACAAATATTCAAGGATTCGGGGAGCAAGAACATGCAGGAGGCTCCCTCCCACTGCTCCCACTTGGCTGCCCCCTTGCAATCTTCACACCAAGCTTGGCAAGCATCCTTAATGCCCTAGGCTCCCCCTTCGCCCCCGGCACACAAATCCAGAGTCCAGCCTCGAAGCCTTCCTGCCTTCCACTTCCAGAGCTTGAGATGCCTTCTCACTTCCTAATCTGCTAAATCATCTTCCTGCCTTTTCTCAAAAGCCTGTTCAAACGAACCTTCTTAGATTAATGTTTCCAAGTGGAGGATGCTCTATCATTCCTGTGAGTACCCGATCGCATTTCCTTGTTGGAAGCTCTTCTATTTTCTAAGGTGTGCCCGTGGGTCCCCATGGTTGCCATGGAGGCCACCTTTGGAGGCAGCCAGAGTGAGGGTTATTCCCTTAGGGCACACCAACCTTCCTTCCGCCCAGAGTGGAATCTCAGGAATGCAGTTACATAACTTCCCATTTTCCCCCCAGCCTTAAAAGAGCTGCAATGACCATCTCAGACGTCGTTATTTTCAGAAAGTTTTCCTAATTTATTTTAAGAAAAGAACCGATAAGATGCATAAGATAGGGCCGTTCTCTGGCTCCAGGTTGTCTTCAGCACGTTTTAGGATTATTGCAACTTGACAGCTTCGCCCTCTTTTTCTTAAGCCGGGTGCGGCTGTCTAGCATCCCAACCCTAGGAGATCAAATACAAGAGGGATAACAGTATGCATCAACTACCCAACAATGCACAGAACAGAGCCCTCAGCCAAGCAAACTGGACCGGTTTGGGAGATAGGTCGTTAGTCAAAGCAGGAGAAGGCTGGTGTCATGCCCCCCTTTGCATTTGCACAAAGGACAGGTTTTCCCCGGGGATGGCTGAGTGAAGGAGCCCCTTACTAACAGAACAGCAGACTCCTTGGACGAGTCTCTGTTTTATGATACACCACGGGTTTTGGCTAATGTGCACCTAACCAATTGTTGGTCACCATTATGGCTGGTCTCTGAGTTAGCCCTACAAGAGTAAATTGTTCCTTCAGTTAGCTAACCATCATTTTTCCCACCCCAATCGTTAAAGTTAGTAAGTTAGAGTTTCTTAACGCCTGGCCTAAACTTATGGAACCATAGTCATCAGAATCGCTTGGGCAATTTGTCGGAGTGTACATTCCTGGGGCTCTCCTGAGCCAGATTTTCTGGGGTGGAGCCAAAAGGTACATTGAAATAAGAGCTATCCAGAAGCCCCTAGAAGAGAGGCTAGAGGGATAATGGCAACTGAACTCTCAAACGTGGAGGAACATAGCGAGGATCAGTTTGTCATTACAATCATCATTGTCTCTCATTGGTTATGGGTCCCAGGCATACATCCTCAGAGAACAGAGCAGGTAGGAGACACACAGCCATGGGGAGGTAAGCTCTGGGCAAGACTGGAGGCCTGCCTTCTATTTCGGTTCTGCCACTAACTCTGTGTGGCTTTGAACAGTTCGCTCACCCCTCCAGCCTTGGCTTTGTCACCCACAAGCATAAGTGTGTGGACCCATCTATTTTAATGTCCTTTTTCCCTCTGCCAATCTCTGGATTATTAAATTTTTAAATATAAACTCTCCTGATGGCCTCTGTAAGATAATGGGCCAGAGAGGTTGATAGTTTTCACAAAAGGAAAGTGTGTCTCAGATAGAGTGGGTGAAATTCTGTCCCAGGAGCCAGAACTGTATCGTCAATTGGTGGGGCACGTGACTTGTGCCTCAGTTTCCCCATTCGCAAAATGACCATGACTTCCACTCAACCACTTTGTGGGGTTCCTGAGCTTATAGCACTTACAGAAAGACATAAACTGCTCAAGTGTTTTGAAAACTATAAAGTAGTAGTCAAGGGGCACAGTACCAGTTGTCACCTAAATTAGGATTAATTCAGGCATGCATCAGGTGTCAGGAGATGCTCACATGGTCACCGTCCAGAGAGAGGTGGGAGGCACTAGGAACTTAGGGTTCCATTAGAAGATCCCGGGGCTTGAGTGAGAAGACCCTACAAGGAGCAAAGTGGCCTGGGAGGTACTGAGGGAGGGCAGGCTGTGTGCCAGGATGGCCCCAGAGTGTATACGACACTCATTTTAGCATCAGACATACTTTAGCTCCTAGAAAAGAAAGCGAACAGGAAGGACCCTGGGAGACTTCTTTGGATGCCTCAAGAATTCCAAAAGCTGCAACTTGGAATTCGAGGCATTCACTTCCTTTTTCAACAAAATTGAGACCCTATAGGGTAATTTCATGCTGAGGAGCTCCCCCTTCTTTAAAGGCTGGTTGGAAATTCCAGCTAGTTGGAACAGGCCAAGACTCTCATTCTCCATGATGACAGCCATCATCAAGGAGAAGCTCTGGAATTTGGTTGGATTCAAACACGTTTTCCAACTTATTTCGGACCAATCTTTGGTCCAAATCACCCAGCATGCCAGCTCTTTTTCACCCTTTGGACCAATCACCCAGCATGCCAGCTCTTTTTCATCTGAAAAGATGGGAACGATGTGACATCCACTTCATTGGGTCATCGTGAAGAATGTCAGATTCTAGTAATTTTCAATCTTCTGCCCCTTCGCATTGCTCCATCCCTGTGTGCATCTTCACCGCAACCCACGTTGCTTAAATCCAAATCGCTAAATGCAGCACATCCTGACAAACACAAACAAAAAGAAACATAAGAGCTTTTGTGTCTTAAGCTTTCAGAGCTGGAAGATGAACATATGAAGTAGAACATTTTGTTTCATGATTTTCTCCCTTTAAGTCACGTCTCGTAAAGGCCCATACGAGAAAGCGGGCTGAATCTCTATGAATTACTTCAGCCAGGCCAGAAGCCTGAAGGTCCACACACCACACCTGCACACGTTTTAATTGTCACCACACAGGAAGACGGTTGACAGGGTTTCCTTCTTCCTGACCCCCACTTGGGGAAACTACTTGGAATATACCTAAATTGGAGTTTTTTGAATGGGATATCTCAATATTTTGTTGGGATGATCATCATACTGCAAGTTTATATTTTACCCAGAATTCAAATGACCAGAGTGCCCAGATAATATCTGCTTTTTCGATGTCACATACAACAGTAATTGGGATTTTTCCAGTTGTGACCTGAAGGCATGGTATGATCCTGCCAAGTGCTTCCGAAGTCAAATATTCACTTCAGCACCTTTGTATATATAATAATTTGTATTTAACTCATATGTTGTATGTTAAGCTTGCATGTAAGTCTCTGAAAGCTGTTCATTCGGATATGTCAGATTTAGCAATTCTCATTTATCCAGAATACTGGACTAACCACAATATCTCATTCTACATTTGTGCGATCAGATCTGTGCATTTAATGAACTTCCTGATTCTGCAGCAAGAACATACGATATAGGTGATTTCTTTCAGGGAAGGAACCCGCCAAATCTACATGCACAGTCTTTGGTCACCTTAGGCTTAACATTCACAATAGAACAATTGAAAATATGTTTGTGTTCCTGAGTCCATGACAACGAGAACTTTATCCAAAAACCCACCATGGATGCTGGTAACACAGGTTCTCCACTGACCTGAAGGAATGCAGGCGAGGGCTGCATTTTGCACACGTATTTGTCCATGGAGGGCTTTTTTGGTAGAGAGGGACAGAAAACTCTGGCTTCTTCAGACAACTGGATGCAGGCAGTTCCTCCTCCAAAAGTAGTCAAAATACCACTCCAGAGAACCTTGACTTTATAAGGGAAGGCAGCTTCTGAGTCACAGAGAGGCTTTTCCTGGAATGAGGCTCTGCTAAAAATGTTTCAGGCAACTGTTGATGTAGGAATTTCTGCCCTCTATTCTAGTAACAGAATGTGTACATGGTACAAAATTCGGCAGGTCCCTATACCGCACTCATGCCTTTTAAAGCCCTCTTCTTGGAAAGTGGCGTATGGAAGGAAGACTTCTCAGACTCTGAGAAGGAAAAGATTCCGTCCGCCAGAACTTGGTATGGGTTTGGAATTTGGGGTAAAGCGTTACATTATTTTATTTGTTCCCAGACTATATGCGGATGGAAAATGCGTCTGGGTAGAGGATCCTTCTGGATGAGGAGAAACATCCCAGTAAAATGAAAGTGTTAGGAGTTTGGAAAGCTATTCTCTGTGTTTGTTGTTTGTGTTTTTTTGTTTTGTTTTGTTTTTTGTTTTTTGGGTGTTTTGTTTTGTTTTGTTTTGTTTTGTTTTGCCGCACACGGAACAGTACTCAATCCTACTCAGTAAGTAGGATTTTGATTGTTGGCCAAAAAGTAAATCCTGATGGTAGAGATGGGGGAAATGGGAGCACAGGGTTATTTCCATAAGATTAAAGTAGATTTTTCCCATGCCCCGTTGGCCTTCATTTCTCTCATCTCCCAGAAAACTCCACTGACTTTAGTGTCAATAATCTATCTCAAAAAAAAAAAAAAAAAAACAAACAACAACAACAACAAAAACCCAGAAACCAAAAACCACAAAACAAAAAAAACCCCAAAACTGCTATGGAAGAAATGAACATCTCTACATTCTGGCACGTTTGGGACATCAGCCATGCCTAAACTCCTGTTGTAATCTAAGCAGCCACTCTGCCTCAGTGTGTCTTTGAAAGGAAAAAAACACACCCAGAAGGGCATATTGTCTGTTGTGCAACAGAGACTTTCAGAGCTTTGGGCTTCCTCTGTCAGGAGCCTTTGTAGGGGGAAGGGTCACTCCTACTTAGATTTTTTCAGATCTCTGGGATGGTGGATTTCTCAAGGAAGCCTTCCCTGACCCCCTGACCCACTCCCAACTACACTCTACTAGCATCGAGCCTTCCTCGGGTAGCACTTACCTGTGTCTGTAGTAGTATGTGTATGTATGATCGTCGCATTCATAGCCCCCTCTCCCACTCACTCGGCTAAGGGGGGGACTCTGACTGCTCACCATCGTATCTCCAGCGTCTATCACAATGCCCCGGGGCTCGCAGGTGCCCAGTACATGTTTCTCACGTGGATGTTGGTACACGATAAACTCTGCCTGGGCTTTGATGATGAACGAATGCTTCCAATCCTTCAGAAAACACACACGTTTTGAAAACTATGCTAATGACACACCTGAGCTGTCACTGCACCCACAACTGGAAAGAACGATGAATTTAGATGAGGTTTTAGAGATAGAACATTGTCCCCAGTATTCAGGCAATCCATAAATCCCTCACGTTTAATGTTTGGATGTAAGATACGATGCTTAAGAAAAATCTTTACTCTTAGGTAGCCCGAGAAGACACATAATTTTGTTACCATTCCTTTCCCTACAGTTTAAAACTTCAGTTGTTTGGATGGGTGAGTGTGTCACTTCCAAGTGCGTGGGGTAATAGATGGCATATTTGTTTTTCATCTTGTTCACTCGATGAAATAAGAACAGCTAAGGACAAATATAAACACAAAATGAGCAAACCTCATGTGGGATGTTTTGCAGAGGGACTCAGTGGGATGGCGCCATATGATTTTGTTTTAATTTTGTCAATGCAGCCCATTAAAATTTAAGTTAGGATCCGAGTGTTTGGGTAAACAGAATAAGCTAAGAATGAGTGGGAGACGTATTTCCTTAAGTTCCATCTGCTAAAGGTTTAGCTCCAAATCTCATTATCTGACTAAGCCCTTCCTCTCCAGATCATGTGGGTTTGATATTTTTCTGATGGGTTTGCAAGAAGCAAGAAGCAACAGCATTAAGCACTTGAAGAGTTGTTTGTTGTTCGTTTTGATTTTGATTTTGTTTTTTACCTTTGTGAAGTGAGGGCTACAATGCAGGCGGGAGCCCCAGCAGGCAGTGGCTTCAGCAATTTGTGCAATATCTTTCTTCTTGCCCTTGCGGCATTTTACCCTAGAAAACAGGAGTGGGTGTTCAGAGGGTGGTCTCTGACCGGGAGCTGACATACAGATCTGTAGCTTTTCCAACAGTTTATTTAAGCCAGATTTCTAGTTTCTGGAGAACTAAAAGGCTGCTGCCCGATGGAACCACTTAGTAATTACCCATTTCTAGTGACAAGAAACAAAGTCATCAATTGCTAGCAACTAACAGGAGAGGAGTTTAAATTCAGCTGGTCTTCAGGCAGCAGGAAAATAAGAGATTGGCTACTATTAGTTTCCATAGTGATTGATGTCAAAAAGGAGTTTGGGGGACAGAGCATTTAGGAAAACAATCAATCCCCATTTATTTTTTAGTCCATTAACCTCTAATGTCATATTTGATATGGTTAGATTTCAATCTACTATTTTATGATTTATTCTATTTGTTGCCTTTGTTTGCTCTCTCTCTTCTCTCCTGCCTTCTTTTGTATTATTTGAATATTTCCTAAATGTCATTTTAATTTCTCTACTTTTGTTCTAGTGTATCTTTTTGCATTATGGGTAAGCAGTTGCTCCAAGGTTTGCAATATACATCCTTACATATTCTCCATCCACTTCAGTTAATATTGTACCACACTTCATGGGAAATGTTGAAATCTGACAAGTGTCTAAGTATGTTTATCCCCTCATCCTGTTACAATGTACATGACAGATCCCGTTCAGTGGTATAATTTTGCTTTAATATTCTCTGCATTATTTCTACTTTAGTATATGTGCTGCCAAAGTGAGCATCCTATTTAGCTTTTGATCTATTTCTTTTTTTAAAAGATTTTATTTATTTATTTGACAGAGAACTATCTCCCCAATACCCATTTTAACTGAGAACCCTAAAGGCAACTTTGTAGCATTCAAGGTATTGTGGGTGGCTGATAAAAAGACTCTGTGTGTGTGTGTGTGTGTGTGTAGCTATTGAAAATTGAAAAGTGCCACACAGGGGCGCCTGGGTGGCTCAGTCATCAAGCATCTGCCTTCGCCTCAGGTCATGATCCCGGAGTCCTGGGATCGAGTCCCGCTTTGGGCTTCCTGCTCAGCGGGAAGCCTGCTTCTCCCTCTCCCACTCCCCCTGCTTGTGTTCCCTCTCTCACTGTGTCTCTCTCTCTGTCAAATAAATAAATAAATAAATAAAACCTTAAAAACAAAAGTGCCACACAGAATACTAAAGCAGATTGTACCCATACGGAGTTTGTGGTGGTTTTATTTTAAAAGCTAAATTCGTAAGTCCTTGGTTTTTCCAAAAATAGGTTTGAACTTCTAAGTTTCATTTTCCTATTTGCATTTTGCCGGGAACTTCCCTTGCCTTCGCCCCAGCCCCCAACCCCCTTTGCTCCATGAGACCCATTGAGTCAGAAATTCCTTAGTGGGAAAATTTCTGGCACTGCTCTAGAGACAGAATCCACAAAGATTGACCCTTGAGGTCCCTGCCTGGATCTACTGGATCCCCACTCTCGGAGACCTCTGGCTTATTGTCATTTGAGCAGGTTTAAGAGAAACAGGAAGTGGGATGTCCTAATGGGGAGTGACAAGGCAGCCCCAGAGACTGTTGGGGCGAAATTGTGAAATCCTTTCATACAGCAAAAAGAGCACTTTCTTATCAGAAACTATATCTTCCTCCCCCTTTCTATTCTGTTAAATTTTTTTTTTTTAATTTTAAGATGTGTATCTATTTGAGAGAGAGAGACAGAGATGGTCACAAAGATAGCCAGACAGAGCACAAGCAGGGAGGAGAGGGAGAAGCTGACTCCCTGCTGAACAGGAAGCCCGATACGGGGGCTTGATCCCAGGACTCTTCCCAGGACCCTGGGATCATGACCTGAGCTGAAGGCAGACACTCCACCGACTGAACCACCCAGGTGCCACCTCCCCCTTTCTAAAGAGAAATAGATTGTATCATCCTGGTTCATCGATTCAGCAAGTACTCATGTATTTGAGACACTGTGCCCCCCCCTGCCGTGGGCTCTGTCTGGGATCCACTGCTGTGCTTACCCCCCTTTCCCTATGCCCCCCCAAAGCCTCTCTAACATGGGCTATTCTCTCTTCCGGTACAAAGCATGTGACCTGCATGAACCTCAAATGGCCCCTATTAATTTGCAGACATTTGAATAAAATTTGTATTCATTTTTGCAACTGAACCAAATTCACAGGGCAGCTTTGTTTTTGTCAGGCCAAATGTAACCAAATATATATGCACATACACACACAGTTACCTGTAGTTTTGCACATTTACATAAACACGGACCTTTTGAGCTATCAATTTTTGTTAAACTTTCAAAGTGGGACTAAACCAGGCATTGGGATGAACTGTAAATATAGCCTGACTAAAGTACTATTTCATTTGGCTTGAATCTTTGGTAAAGAAACAGACTCTCAAGACCCCTATTTAGGAAACCCTTAGCAGAGAGAAAAATGTTCTTGGCCTTTTCCCCAAAAATAGATGTTCAAAGAATTTGCACTTTGAACTTTATGCTTGTTTTATGCTTTATGTATTAAAAGTCAGATGAAAACTAACACCCTACCGAACTAATTTGAACATATGGAAAAAGCAATTGCCATAGCATATAACTTATTAAATGTTGGTGGTTTTTTCAAAATGAATTTCTCTGGTGGCCAGTTAATGGTTATTAAGTAATAAGTAATAAAAATATTTTTGTGAATTCCACCTGACCATTGACCTTGGCGTTCATGGCTCACTTAAGACTCTGTTTGGTAAAATGAAATCTCTCTCCTTCTAATTAGGAAGCATTTTGGGGAAGCTGACCATGCCCTAATGTCGTGGGGTCAAAAAGTATGTGGAATGTTGCCCCCGCCCTTTGAAATAATATTCCCAGTGTCTGCCAGGAGCAGGGTAACTTTCTGGGACAGAAAGCAGAAGGTTCTATGTGGCCTAGGCCTCAGTCTCTGGAGTTGGCTGAGCTCATTTCAAACCCCAGATCAATGATCTGCCGGCTCTGTGACCCTGGGCAATTTATTTCACCTGTCAAAATACGCATCTTTAACTTGGGGAAAATGCTGAGGTTATTTTGCAACATGAGATAATGCAAATTGTTTAGTGCAATGTCTAGCATGTAATTAGTGCTCAGTGCATTTAACTATTATTATGGACTGTGTTGGTATCACATTAAATTACCAACTGAAATCAAAATAAAACAGTGTTTTCAGTCATCAGTTTAAAAAAAAAGACATCAAGCGAGAGCAAACAGTTGTATTGCCTTTACATCGTTTAAATCTTTGAACATTTAGGCATTTTAAGGTTTGTGAAGAAGATTGCTAAATTTATAAAAAGGAAGGTTGATAAATCAGAGGCTGAAGAAGACTCCTGTCCAGAGGAGATGAGAAAGACACCAGGTCTGTGATTTTTTTTGTTTAGGAAACTAAAAGTACTGAAGGTGTTTCTGGTTTGATCTCGTTACAGATGAGACAGGACAAAATTTTCCCGTCGCCCCTGGTCTCCCCGAGGCTTGGTGAGTCAAGGATCTCAGGTGGTAAGGCAGGGTGACTATAGGAAGGGACATGGAACTAGAGAAGGCAGCCTTTGGAAAAGCAGCCTGCAGACTCCAGGCTCTGTAAACTGGGGCCAGGTCTGGATTGTAAACGGCACTTCTTTTCAGTTTTGTTCGTTACTGCATCTCCAGGGCGTAAAACAGTGCCTGGCACGTGGTGGGCTCTCAATAAATATTCTAGAATAAAAACAAGGCCACAACCTGAGGGAAACGAGAATGTTAAGGTAGTGAGAGCCTTAGAGAGGCTTTGGCTACTTACAGCTTGTGAGGCTCACCGTCCTTGGATCTGTCTTCTCCCCTACTATGTGGGGAGTGTTTATTTTAGTATTAACATGCAATACTAACACACAGTACTAATACTACAGTACTACACCATAGTATTGTACAGGTATAATACAGTGAGTTTCATTTAGAATCAACATTTATAACAGAGGCCTCTTCTGGCTCCTCTTCATTCGATTCTCAAATTAATTGTGGCCAAAATCTGAGATCCCTCTCAAGCTTGAGGCCAGGGCCAAATGGCCCAGCCACAGAATCTTGTGTCCTTTTTAGATTAAAACTCTATCACAGATTATTATTACTATGAATTATCATAAATTAAATTATATATAGTAATTATATAATGTATTATAGATAATATATAGCTAATATATTAATAAGTAATATTATTACTAGGCCAGAGTAAAGATAGGAGGGCTACATTTAGTCTCAAACAAAGGGGTTGATAGGGTTGAGGTCAACATATCGGTTCATTTCGAGAGTCGTGTAAAATGGAGAAAGACAGTATATTAATCACATTTAAATAGCTGTTCCATTGTACTGATCTAATTCAAGCTTTTCGGGTCTCAAATTCTGTAATTCTATGGCTAAAATCCACTTCTTCAGTGATTTGAAAGCAACTAACAAATCTCGTCTGTAATGAAAAATAATTCGGTGATACTGTATTGTATCATTTAAAAATATATGCTAAGGATTGAGACTGTAATTTTAAATCAAAGGAATTATATTCTATTGACATTTCAAAATGTGTATTCTTAATGAAGAAGCTATGCTAGAAAGAAAATTTTGAACAGAATCCTTGAAAATATTTCACAAAATAAAACAAAATGGAACTCTCCAGCTACTATGGTAGAGTTGAGGGCTGAATATTGAATACTTATTTATTTTATTCAACATTATTAGGCCCTCTCAGAGGCTTAAACCAATACCATGTTTGTGGAAGATGTTTACATTATTCGAGATGCTTACCTCTGGTTTAGGGAATTTTTGCCTACATCCCCCAATTCCTTTGGATGAGTAGAAAAATGTATTCCCATGGACCCCAAAGGAGAAAATATATTCCTTGCATCTTTGGCCCTTAGTGAATTGTACTTTCGTGGGCTGAATTATTAAAAAGCTGAAAGAAGCCCCTACTCTCCCTTTCACATAAAGAGGTGAAGCTAAAAAACATAACTGTCAATGCATTTGTCGGATCCGCAAATCTGCACCATCTTGTTTTCAGTGGACACTGGGAGAGCCTCTGTCACATCTGCTCCAA